TCCCTCCCTCCCTTCTTTCTTTCCTCTCTCCCTCCTGCCTTTCCTTCTTTCCTTCCTCCCTTCCTTCTTTCCTTCCGCTCCATCTCCCTCTTTTCTTCCTTCCTTCCTTCCTTACATACATACATTCAGTACATACATAGACATACATATCATACATCTCCTCTTGCCATCCCTTCCTTCCTTCATCTCCCTCCCTCTCTTCCTTCATCCATCCTTCTTCACTCTCTCATTCCCCCGTTCCTTCCTTCATCTTCCTCCCTCCCTCCCATACATCTACATTTCCCCTCTCCTTCCTTCCTTCCTTCCTTCCTTCCTTCCTTCCTTCCTTCCTTCCTTCCTTCCTTCCTTCCTTCCTTCCTTCCTTCCTTCCCTCCCTCCCTCCCTCCCTTCCTTCCTTTCTCCCTCCCTCTCTTCCTTCCTAATTTTTTAAAATAAAAGAATAGCCAATATTTTTGGTCAAAACCTGGCTGTCCCAACCAGTTAGGTTGATTGGAAGAAGAAGCCCCCCAAAAAGGGGGTGGGGGGGACGACAGCAACTTCAATTCCCGAGCAAGGAGTTGAAGGTCAACTGTGAGCATCAATGCCCCCAACTTGAGGTATCCCGTCCACGGCATAGCGGGCGCTGAGCGGACCTCCTCCTCCTGCCACCCTCTTGCCATCACCTTCCTTTTCAGGTTCCCGCTGGGACTCACCCCTCCGGGGTCCAGAGCCCCGCGGCCGAAGGCTTTGTCCGGACCTTCAGCCACGAGCAGCTGCTGGCCCAGATGATGCAGTCCCACATGGTGAAGGACCTCTGCCTGATTGGACAGAAAGTAAGCACTGGGCCGAAAGGCCTCGGGGCGTCTCCCGTTTGAACTGCTTGTGGGCCTGGACGGCGTCAGCAGCTCCACCCTCTGCCTTCTCTCCTCCCAGGGTTGTGGCAAAACCGTGGTTGCCAAAGCGTTTGCCGCCCTCTTGGGATACAACGTGGAGCCCATCATGCTCTACCAGGCAAGTTCTAGACTTGGGGAATTGGGCCTCACTTCTCCAGACTCAGCCTTCCTTTTCCCTGTCTCTCTCTCTCTCTCTCTCTCTCTCTCTCTCTCCCCTTCTTCCTCTCCGTCTCTGTCTTCCCCTCTCTCTTTCTCTTTCCTCTCTTTCCCTCTCCCTGCCTCTCCTCCTCTCCCTCCCTCTTCCTCTCTCTCTCTCTTTC